AATTGCCAGTAATATTCTCAGTGATAACCTGTAATACTTCCTGTGATATCCAATAATATTTTCTGTGATATCCAATAATTTTTTCTGTAATACCTAATAATATTCTTGTGTAATTGCCAGTAATATTTATATGTAATCGGCAATAGTTCTTTTTCGTAAGGGTACGGCTGTCCCTACTACCGCGCGTCGTTTTCCTTCAATCTCGGGCCGCTGGTGGAGATCGAAAGAGTACGGCGCGCGGTAGTAGAAGCAGCCAGAAGAGAAATTTCAGAGAAAAACTTCTCTTGGAGCGGAACGATATGGCGCACCCCTCTGTACCGTGCCGACATATAGATTAAATCTCGGGCCGTTGGTGCGTGGTAGTAAGAAGCGGCCGGAGGAGAACTACTTCTCCCCTCACGGCGCACGATATGATGCTCCGTACTGTATATATTAATTTGTATATAAATATATCTGTATATAATGTTTAAATTAATTTATCAAAACACAAGAAATCAAGAAAGTTTACCTTCTAGTCTTACAATAAGCGGTATTTTAAGTCCTAAATTTTGTGATGCTGTGACAATTCCTTTGGCTATCATTGAGCAATTTACAATACCTCCAAATACATTAACAAGAATAACTTTGACTTTTGGATCTGCAGAAAAAGAAAATTATTTTCTTCATAAACATATGTAAAAATGTTATTCTTCAATTATGTGAATACCTTCGTTAAGAATTCTAAATGCCTGAAAGACCTGGTCTTCTTTCACATTACCACCAACATCTAAAAAATTGGCTGGCAAACCACCATTTAATTTAATAATATCCATTGTAGCCATGGCTAAACCAGCTCCATTTACTATAAATTAGTAATTTTTTTATAATGTTTGTACTTATACAAACTGATCTGATTACTTATATTTTTGATATAAATCAGAAAGAAAGATTATATAAAAATAATATCTTACACACACACATCAATATTTCTAATTAAAAATGTTTTTTTTGCTTATACTAGTTTCTATCTATTACAAAATACTATATTCTTTTACCTAAGCATCCTATGTTGCCATCCATAGCAATATAATTTAAATTAAATCGTGTCGCTTCCACTTCTCTAGGGTCTCTTTCACTAACGTCTTCTAAAGCAAACAAATCTTGCTGTCTAAATTGGGCATTATCATCAAACGCAATTTTTGCATCTACTGCTATAACTTGTTTGTCTGTAGTTTCTACCAGAGGATTAATTTCAACTTGTAAAGCATCAATGTCCACAAACAGCTTCCACAAATTTTTCACCTCATATACAGCCTTCTCAAGAATATCTGGATTAGTAAATCCCAAGAAAGTACACACATCCTTTCCTATTTTGTCATCAATTCCATGATAAATATCCAATGGAACAATTTTGACTTGTTCGGGAGTTTTTTCCGCAATTGTCTCAATATCCATTCCTCCTGCTGGAGAAGCTATTAACACTGGACCATTGTGCTGCTGATCCATAAGAATACAAACATAAGTCTCACGTGCAATATCTACTGACTCAGCAATCATAATCTTCTGCACTAGTATACCATCTTTTGAAGTTTGTTTAGTAATAAGCTTATGACCTAACATGTTCTTCACATAATTTATAACTGTGTTACGGCTGTTAAAAAAAAGGTTAAAAAATTTTTTAATGTAAATCACATTATTATATATGTTTATAGTAAAATACCAAGATACACATGTATTAAATATATATACATGCACACACACATATTATATATTTAAATAAACAAACATTATAGAAAATATGAATATTATAGAAAATATTGGTTATTATGTGATATGGTTTTTAGTATACTACAACAGGGGTCGGCAAAACGCTGAAAACGGGCACGGGCACCTGCGAACGCCCGCGATTGCCCGGCCTTTACGCACCCATATTATGATCAACATTATTCAGAACTCAGGAGATAATATTACTACTAATATATAATA